AGACAAAATACGACCATAAAGAGACACAAAACTACAACAAGAAGATGCAAAACGACCAAAAAGAAACAAAAAGCTACACATAAGAGATGCAAAACAGCCGCAAAGAGACGCACAACACCCAAAACGAAACAAAAAAACGAATGCAAAGAGACAAAATACTACATCAATAAGACGCAAAACTACCACAAATAGATGCAAAACAACCGAAAAGAGACACACAACGACAAAAAAGAAACAAAAAACTCAGACAATGAGACAAAATACCACCTTAAAGAGACACAAAACTACAACAGTAAGACGCCAGACTACCACAAATCGATGCAAAACGACCACAAAGAGAGGCAAAACAGCCAAAAAGCAACAAAAAACTAAGGTGACGAGACAAAATACGACCTTAAAGAGACACAAAACTACCACAATAAGATGCAAAACAACCACTAATAGATATAATAGATACACAACTACAAAAAAGAGACAAAAATCTACACAAAGAAATGCTAAAACAGCCGCAAAGAGATGCACAAAACCCAAAACGAAACAAAAAACGAATGCAAAGAGACAAAATACTACAACAATAAGAAGCAAAACTACCACAAATAGATGCAAAACAACCAAGAAGAGACACACAACGACAAAAAAGAAACAAAAAACTACACACGAGAGATGTAATAATAACGTAAAATCATAATAAATGTAATCCAGGTTTTGACAAACAGGAGCTGAAGTTCAGTTTGTTGCTTCCAGCTGCTGAGGACGGTTTCCTCTGAGTTCGTTAAATATCTGCAGCGTCAGACAGCAGCAGGATCGTTAATCAGATTCATTAATTACTTCTAATTATATATTTTGAAAAATAAAGACTGATGAAGCAGCAGTTTTAGGTATCCTGTGTTTCTGAAGCACTCGAGCTGAGACAGTTACTGGATTTGTCGTTTGGTTGATGAGCAGCCTCTCAAACAAAAGCACAAACTGAACATGTTTAAAATAAAATGTCTGACTTGTGTGTGATGACTTTGTGTTGGACTGTGATGCTCATAAATTGTTGTTTTTATCGATTGTTTGGCACATCAATGAACCTAATACGCTGGTAATCAGTGTTTTTGTGAACAGGAAGAAGATGCAGGAGGAGGAGGAGGCCAGAGAGAGGTTGCGGAATCAGATCACCATAGTAAGTATTTATAGAATAAAGTAAATGCAATCACACAACCCTGAACTGGCTAACAACGCTCGGGTACTGCATGTGGTTTAGTTTTACGACGACCAGTGGTCATTTTCTCGCCCTCGCGCAAAAATGTACCCAATTTGTCCGACGGTGTGGTTTCGTTTTTGAAGGGAGCGATTATGTTCTGTGACTAAACCGTGAAGCCTCGCAGTGAGAAAACGCTGTGTGTTTATTTCAATATGCAAATTAAAACGCCGTCAGAGCATCTAGAGTCGGATCTACGCGGCTGAACCCAACGTCGAGTTTCTAAACAGGCGGCAGTCGGATCGATTTGCTTCAAAAACCTTCAGGAAGTGTTGATGAAACTGGAGATGAAGTCATAGTTACACCCTTAGTTACAGTTCTGCTCACTGGTCTGGTGGTGGCGCTACAACCCTGCATTAGCTACATATACAAGGTTCTCGTTTTGTAATGTGTTCCTCCAGAACATCCCTAAAACATCCACAGATCACTGAAGTCAAAATGTTCCACCTTTGTTAATGCATCACGTTACAGGAACGTTTTAGAAAAAATCATCTGAGGCCTCGATAACATCTTGAAAACACTTTTTAAATGTTAGTTTGAGAACGTTCTTCGTGTCTTATCTTGTAAAATATATATTTTATGACGTGTTTCACCCCTAAGATCACTGAAGTCAAAATGTTCTACCTTTGTTAGTAAGTCACATTAAAGGGATGTTTTATAAAACGTTGTCTGAGGTACGTCTTAAAAACACAGTTTAAATGTTGTTTTGAGAACATTTCACCTTAATCATGGAACATTGTAGGATGGTTCTACATTTGTTCATATGTCACATTACAGGAACGTTTTATAAAAAAATTCTTTTGGGGCTTCGTTACCTTTTTGAAACCCTTTTTTAATTTTTGTTTTGGGACGTTTTTTGTTTTTTTTTTTTTTAAATTTTTTTTTTTTTGCGTTTTTTCTTCACCACCTTCCCAAAACCTTCTTCGGTTCGTTCTATTGGAATTTTTTTCCTTTTTTTGAAATGTGACATTACAGGAACGTTTGATTAAAAAGTCGCACCACATGAACAGAATTTCTCTTTGACGGGTTTGAAATACACTTCAGAGAAACTGCGGTGCAGACTGGATGATGTTTCGTTGACAATCAGTAAATAAAAAGATCTCGTCTGCGAAGTTAGTTTTCTTTTTTTCAACCATCTCAGAAAACATCTGAAGCTGCTCTACTCACTCTGAGCTGAATTTTAAAAGACTTCTTTGTACAAACTGTCCGACGAGTCGTGCATCGTTTTCTATTTTTCTGCGGCAGTTTCTTTGGTTTTCCTCAGAGACGAACGCAGTCTGTGTCGCCCCCCGCTGGTGGTTCAGTGTCGTTACGCTCTGGTCTGTTGTCAGCTCACCGAATGATGGATATGAACCTCTGAATCTTTACCTGCCTTGTTTCCTCCTCAGGCAACAGAGCCGAGCATCGAGGACCTCAACCTGGACAAGAAGGAGTCTGAGGTGGAGGTCAGTCTGACAAATACGAATGAGAACACCTTCAGAAAGTCAAGGACGATGAATTATTGAGTGAAACAGTTGGAGGAAAGCTGTTAGTCCAGTGCATACAATGGGAAAAAAATAGTTGTAAGAACTCCTTCAAAACTGCAAAGAACAATAAATTATTGATTAAAAAGCAAAAGTTAGTTGTAGAAAAAATTGGAAAAACGCTCATTAGAGTTACATCAGGTCAGGATTTCTAATTTAGATAAAAATAAATCTCAGATCAGCCACTTTCTGGAACTAGAATCAATGTTTGGTTGTTTTATTGATGCAAATTTTTGACACTGAAGAGTTTTATCAGATCAATCTTTTCATTACAGACGATGAAAGTATTTTGTCAGTAATTTGTAAAAGTAGCGTTACTCCAGTACATGTAATGAGGTGTCTTTCCACTTCAGTTTTACTTAACAAACCTCATCAGGAGCAAGTAAAACTGAAAACTCAAGCCCAGAACGGCGTCTTTGGAGGAATCGTCCTCGATTACATGTTGAGATAATCTTTGAGACGAAGCTCAGGAATGTAACTCGTGAAGCTACCAGTTGTTTCTCACGACTGACATCGATCTAACCGTGTGTTTCCTCCAGGAGGCGAAGGCCATCATCGCTCAGCGGTCAGGAAATCCTCGAGACTTCTTCAAGCAGAAGGAAAGAGCCATGACCATCAGTGTCGACACTTCACCCGTCTCCGTCCACAGAGCCGGTAAAAACTGAAAATCTGTTGTTAAATGAAAACCAGACGCCTCAAAGAGAGAAGAAGCTTATTGGTGACCGCCTCTGAAGTTTGACTGATTTCAAACTGCTGTGGTTCCGGTTGTCTGCTGTGTGTCTGTGGGTCGAGTTAAGTTGTTCATCGTCCTCAGCTGCTGCTTCTGTACAGACGTGCTTTTATTGTGGAGGGGTTGTAACATACGACATAAGTCTTGACTTGCTGTTGGATCTTTAATTGTAGTTTTTGCGTTGTTATGTGTCGTTTGTCCGCAGCTTGTTTGTTGTGACTTTGCTTCGGACAAAAATCTCAGTCTTTAGAAAACTTCTAATTATAATTTTTGGTTATTTATCTTTTACATTGTTCGTCAAAAACACACAACCGGACGTTTCATTGACTATTTATGACAATCTCTTTAACAAAAGTGTCTCTAATCAGCTAGAATTTTTTTTGTTATTCTGAAAAAGTTCTGCAAAGTTCTAGTAACATCTTCAGCTCAACGTTTTTTTAGGTTCCCAGAATGTTCTTCTGAATTTAATGTTCTTTTGAGCCATTTTTTAAAATGTTTGGTAAAAAAGCACTGTTGGCCCTAATGTTCCTAAAACGTTTGTTTATCGTGCGAACCTCGCAAAGTCGCTATGTTACATTACAGGAACGTTGTCTAAGAACGTTCTGTTATCTGAGGTTCGTCTTGAAAGCATGTTTTAAATGTTGGTTCGAGAACGTTCCACAATACGTCGAGAAACGGCGCAAATTTTCACTTTCCAGAGTCGCAAAACGTTGCTGCTGTCCTCTTATTGGTGAACATTATCAAGAGTTTCAGAACCACACCTTTAGAACCAGAAAGTTCTTCTCAAATTTGGATCATGTCGTAAAAATGTTTGATAAAAACACTGCTGGACTCTGGTGCTTTAATGTTCTTAAAACGTTTTTCTGAAGGTTGTAATTGTCTTGTCATGTAATGACACTGTAGGCACTTTTCACAATATGTTCCTCAACAACATCTTAGAACATCCTGAGAACATTGCAGACAGAACGTTCGTTAATATTTTATGTTAAAGGATTTTTTTCTAAAAACGTTCTGGCGTCTGAGGCACATCTTGAAAATATGTTTTCAATCTTGGTTCAAGATCATCGTTTCTTCATAACATTGAAGAAATGTTTTAAAGAAGAACGTTCTGTAAATTGTTTCTCAGTAACACCACGAAACATCCTGAGAACGTTGGAGGCCAAATATGGCTTTATTACGTTGTAGCTTTGACAGAAAGAAGAAGTCGGACCACGTCGGCTTTTCATTTTTGCTAACTGCATGCTGTCTGCAGTTGCTTTTTAAAGTTCCCAGAACGTTCTTCTCGAATTATTATAATGTTCTTTTAAGCCAGTCTAAAAATGTTTGGTGAAAACACCGTAGGACTCTTTAATGTTCCTAAAATGTTTTCCTGAAGATTCTAATCGTGTTATCAGGTAACGACATCGTGGGACCTTTTCACAATGTGTTCCTCAGCAACATCCTAAAACATTCTCAGAACACTGCAGACAGAACGTTTGTTAATATATTTTGTTAGAGGAACGTTTTCTAAAAACGTTCCGGTATCTGAGTCACATCTTGATGTTGGTTTGAGAACATCCTTCCTTTGCAACATTGCAGGAATGTTTTACAGAAGAGCGTTCTATAATACAGTTGAAACCAGAAGTTTACATTCACGGTATAAAAAGACATAAAACCTTTTTCTTTCTCATCGTCTGACATTAAATCAGACTAAACATGTCCTGTGGTCTGATGGAACTAAAACTGAACCGTTTGGCCTTAATGACCATCGTTACAGGGAAAAAGGGGGAAGCTTGAAGCCTGAGAACACCATCCCAACTGTGAAGCACGGGGGTGGCAGCATCATGTTGTGGAGGGACTGGTGGACTTCACACAATAGATGGAATCATGAGGAAAGAAGATCATGTGGAAATATTGAAGCACCATCTCAAGACATCAGCCAGGAAGTTAAAATTTGGGCACTAATGAGTCTTCAGATGGACAATGACCCTAAACATACCACCAGATTAGTTACAAAGAGGCTTCAGGACAACAAAGTCCATGCTGTGGAGTGGCCATCACAAAGCCCTGATCTCCATCCTGGAGAACATTAGTGGATCAAGGAGGCCAACAAACCTGACTCAGTTCCACCAGTTCTGTCAGGAGGAATGGGCCAGAACTCATCAAACTATTGTGAGAAGCTTGTGGAAGGAAACCCAGAACGTTTGACCCAAGTCATGCAGTTTAAAGGCAACGCTACCAGATACTGAGGAGATGGATGGAAACTTCTGACTCTGAAGAAAGTCATAAGAAATCCTCTAAAAAATCCTCTCTCTCATTATTCTGGCGTTTAGCAAATAGAAATAATGTTGGTAATCCTAACTGACCTAAAACAGGAAAAGTTTAGTCTGATTTAATGTCAGACATTTAGTAAGGGCATTTTATGAGATTTTTCACAAATCTGNAAACAAACCAACCACATAAAGACACTAAATGATAATGAGACCACCACAAACCAAACAAAATCAGACGCAAAATTGTCACAAGCAGACGGAAAACCACCAATAATACAAATAAAACAACTGTAAAGACACAAAACCAACAAAACTAGATGTAAAATCATCACACAAAATCAGCATAAAGACGAGCGAATCCACCACAAACTGATGCAAAACAAACAGAAAGAGACAGAAAATGGCTCAGATCTAAAATGCCGACGCTCAGATGTTTGACATGTGTGATGATATGAAGGCAACACCATGAAACCCACGCCGCTGTGTCTCAGATCCACTTCAGTTCAGTTTCTGCTGCAGAAAACATTAAAACGACGTTTGTTTCGTAACCGGCTTCAGCTTTTGTTGGCCTGTTTTCATGCAGCATTAAAAGCTGGAGGAGGATCAAACCCTGTTTAAAGCAACCTGAGAGCGTTCACACCTGTTCACCTGCTCACTGGGTATTTTTAGATAACGAGATGGAGATTAAAGCGGTTTGTGTGTCTGCGTGTGTGTCATTATTGTAAGTGGCAGCTCTCTTCTCTCCCACACAGCATCGACTTCATCACACCGACAGCGTTTCAAACGAGCCTTTCAGAGGACCTGCGTTCGTTTAGATTAATTTCCCACAAGTCCTTAGTGACGTGAACGCCACCACGCACAACATACGCAGAACGACGACACGGAGACACAAAACCACAAAGAAGAGACAAAAATAACCACAAAGAGATGCAAAACAGTCACAAAGAGACAAAAAACGAGCACAAAGAGATGGAAAATGACCACAAAACAACCAATGAGATACACAAAGTAACCACACAAAGGTGCAAAACAGACACAAAGGCACACATAGCAAACACAGAGATGCAGAACAAAGACAAAGACACACAAAACGACCACAAAGAGACACAAAACAGCTGTGAAGACACACAAAACGAGCACAAAGAGATGGAAAATGACCACAAACAGACTCAAAACAACCAATAAGGCACAAAACAACCACACAAAGAGATAGAGAACAAACACAAAGAGAAACAAAACTGCCACAAAGAGACACAAAACAAGCACAAACAGCCATAAAGACTAGGAAAATGACCACAAACAGACACAGATAACCATTAAGACACACAAAATAACTACACATAGATGCAATACAGCCACTAACAAACACAAAGCAACCAGAGACTAAAAACAGCCCCAAGTAGACATAAAACTGCCAGAAAAAAGAGAAAATTTCCACAAAGACATGAAAAGTTACGACAAAGAGATGCAAAACCAACACGACACAAAAACAACCACAAAAAAAAGACAAAACAACTACAAAGAGACACAAAACAACTATAGAGAGAAACAAAACAACCACAAAGAGACACAAAACAACTACAAAGAGATGTAAAATGACCTCAGACAGACACAAAACAACCAAAGAGATGCACAAAATAACGAAACATAGATGCAAAACATGAACAAATATACATAAAACTGCCTCAAAGAGACACAAAACAATGATAGAGAGACACAAAACAACCACAAAGAGACACAAAATCACCACAAAGAGTTGAAAAGCTAACACTAAGAGATGCAAAACAGCCACGAACAACAAAACAACTACAAAGAGGGAAAAAAGAAAATACAAACCAACATAAAATTGCCACAAAAAAAAGAGATAAAATATCTGGAAAAAATACAAAACAGCCACAAACCTGAGTCTGTCCGTAGTACAAGAATCAAGAATTCAAGACTTTTATAAATGCCCTTTTTAAAATTCTTTGTCAGAACTAAACGTGGTTCCAGTCGGAGCTGAATAAAACGGTGAGACGATTCTCGGGGCTTAATGGTCGTTTGTTTGTGTTTGTTTGTTTGTTCAGGGGGTGGAAGTCACCGTCAACGCCAGCAGTCTGGACGACATCGACCCGTTGGCCATCGGCCAGCGGCTGACCAACGGGACGGCGGCGGTGGCGAGTCCAGTCCTGAGCCGCCTGAAAACCCGCGAAGAAGAACACGGAGACGTGGTACGAAAACACACGTTATCAATAAAACGGCATTTAACCACCTCAGAGACAAAGACGAGGTAGAGTTGGTACCATAGTCTGAATCAGGCCTTTTGGGACACTGAAGCTGTTTCTTCGGGGGTGAAGACGCAGATTTCTCAGTTTCACGTCATTAAGATGCACAAACACGCTGCAGAAACCTGACACTGCTTCTCCTGGTGCAGGGAACGGTGTACGAGAAGACCAACGCAGAGGTGGAGATGAAGAAAATCAATAGAGAGGAGTTCTGGGAGCAGGCCAAGGTAGGTGTGGAGCGACGCAACAACACCGAGAGGAGGCAGGAACGCTCTAATGTAGAGTCGAAGGGAGGACGAAGACCACGATTAGACACAAAGAGACACCTCAAAGAGACACAAGACAGCTATAGAGACACAAAATCCACACAAAGTGACACAAAACCACCATAGAGACACAAAACCACCA